GGAACGTGAATGTTGGGGAACGATGTTGGCCCAATGTGACCCAATTTTTTCAGTTTTCTCTGCCTCATTCACTTTTCGTTTACTTCTCCCCCCCCCCCTTCCTTAGTCCCCCCCCCCTCTTGTCCCCCTTATTTACGACCCTGACAATACTTTCCGACTGAATTAGAAGGAAGAAGCTTTACTGTGCGTAGCAGAAAGTTGTTTAACTCCCGATTTTGATCAGAACATTTCCCTTTACCGCATTATACAGCATTGCCATTGTTCAGCTGCAGCACGAATTGTATCGCGTGCCGATGCCCAATAACTTAGAAAACGTGAATGCACGGCAGGCAATTCCTACAGGCCTCTTGAAATCGTTTCAATGGCCAATGGTTAATGGTTTCTCCCATATGCTCGTCAGTCCTGAGCGGCATATACCTCGTATTTGGCCATTCGAGTTGTCCCTCGCGCAGTAGATTCGAAAGTGGCCCCAAAAAAAGGGCACACTTTTAAATGTGACGTTTTCAAGGTTTTTTTTTCCCAGTTACGTGCAATCGAAAGAAGGAAGACTGAACCACAAAAAGAAACTTTTTTCAGACTCGAAATATCTAAAACGATGACTTAGGAAAGAAAAAAAGAATTTCGGCTCCGAAAGACCGACTTAGCGCTCACCGAGCGCCGAATGAACACGTGCACCCCTCCGCTGAACACCTGTCCCCTTCCTCGACCCACCATTCCCCCATCCCAGCACCCGCTCGACGGCCTGGCACTCGCAAGAGGAAGGGAAATGCTGACCTCAGCAGACGTGGCAAGGATGAGGAGAGGGGCCTGTCGACGTTGGCGGTCGGTGTGCGCAACACCAATTTTTCGTAACCGAAATTCAATAACTCTTTCCTAAGTCGCCGTTTAAGACGTTTCAAGTCTGAATCAAGCATTTTGTAGCTGAGTCTTCTTTCCATTGCATGTAACTGGAAAAAAATCTTGAAACATCATACCTAAAATGCGCATTGAAAAATGTGCCTTTTTTGGGCCACCCTCTATATATGCAGACACTTAGGCGTGTTCTTGTCCTGTGCCATAGATCGGAAAACGAGAATATGTCCACACACGTGGCCATAGGGACTGAAGGTTTCAAATGGATGCACGAAGTGTCGATAGTGAAACTGCATCAGAATTCGTGCTAATATTAGCTTCAACCAAAATGCACTCGTATATTACAATACATACAGTTTCATTTCCTTTTTCGTGGATAACATCGCAATCAATTATTAATTTGTTGTTTAATGGTAATTTGTGCTTTTTTCTTCTTATTGTGTACGGCTCTTCGCTTTCATGTTTTGTCTCTCAGCTTGCAGCGTGAAATTCCTCGAAACAGTTTTGTTCTTTCAGAGCACAAGGAGAAACCGTGTATTCGATAAATCTAATTATCGTCTTTCCCTCGAATCCTTCGCTCCTGGATCGGGCTGCGTTCGGCTGACGTGAGACTAGGTGGATTGAGCTCAAAAGAGCTAACGAGTAGGCTGTCGTCACAAAGTCGATGCCGCTCTCATTCAGCCGGTTAAAAATGTCATCAGAAAGTTGTCACTTCTGTCCATTTGAAATAATAGGATTAATGAATTGCTGTAGTTGCATCCTAATATCCACATCTTGTTGAGAAATAATACAAAGGTAGCTTTTATAATGCGACCCGATGTACACATACCTCGTACGTGTAAATATTATTTTAAAGCACTGCACCTCATCACTATGAAGATTTCAGAAGAAAATGAAAAAGGAGTGGTTGTTGTGATTGGAAAGACGTTACCAAATTAGGAAAAATGTAATTTTTCACGAAACATTGACATGATGAAAAAGCAAAACTTACGAAGTGGTGCTGGTCCAGGCCCACGAGGCGTCTTGTTACTGGCAGCCATCCAGATGTTTCCCCTACGAGAGTCGTCGAAAAGCTCATAATTTGTCACATGTTGACGTTTTTCATTGATAAGTGGTCAGTCGTTAGCCCAAAGTCATAACATTGGCTTGAGGAAAAAAAATCGGATAAATAGTATTTGTCCAACAAATGTGGGCGCCAGATCTGGCGACATGTGCTGCATGTGCATCGATAAGGTTCTCCCAAAGTGCTGCTGGGTCACCCACCCTTGAGTCCATTTCTTGATCTCTGCACACGATCCAACATATCAGCACTACCACGCAAATTTAATTACGCATGCCGAGTATTTTTTCGAGCGGCAGTTGATTCAACATTTTGTGTACGAAAATTTTCTCCCGACATTTTGTCGTATTATTTTGTCTTTGAACTTAGCGACGCTAAGAAATGCGATTTTGCTAGCTATATTTTAGAAGAGCAAATAATTTATTGTCCCCGTGGAAGCCAAAACTCAGGGTTGTAGTTAATCTTTGTTGCATTCTAATTCCTTTACTGAAGAGACATGAGAGAAGAATCATGTGATTCAGATGTGATTTCACAAAAAAATAATGTATATTATTTTCTTTTAGATGTGCAGTGTAAGTATAAAAATTTACTCTGAATATGCAGAATATAAATCCACTTTGCAAATAATCAGATGCATTCAAGTTCATCACCAATCAATCACAGCTGATTATGCTATCACAAAAGCATTTGGCAAAAGGTCAAAGGGCAAAAAGCCAGAGAATACAATACAGGAAGTAAATGGCAGGGAAAAACCAAGAAAAAAGAAGGTAAATACTGTCAGTGAAAATGCAATTCATAATGTAAGTCTCAGAGTGAGAAACTTTTAAGAACTTTCACATAGAGGTAATAACTTGTGATTTCGACTGAGCAACAACAGTTCAATACTGTAGAAAAGCATAAAATATGTCTGAAGTCCGTGATGCCATTTTTGGAATCACGAAACTGGAAAAAAGTAAGTGGAATCCTTAGATTTGGCGTCAGTAGAAATAGTAATTAGCTTATTCGTAGCGGACATTTTCTGGTTCTATAACATAGGAGTCCATCCACATTCTCAGTTTCTCCATCATGCTCTCGATCACAACCCGTTTCTCTGGGAGCCGTCGCTGAAGGTACTGGAGACCATCTAGCAGATGTACATGGGCATAATTCCTTGGTGGATACCTTAGCTTCAGGCGTCGCCCGTCGTGTGACAAATGATGGGTGCATCCAAATGTCTGTGGAGTTAGAAGACAGGAATGTTAGTAGCTGAAGGAAGGCCATCAATTTTGAAGCTTCGTTCCGTTCTCTAGTTCTGGGGCATCCGTACTTTATGGAGCTGATAGCTCTTCTCTAATCTCTGAATTCAGTGAGAGAACGGTTCAACATGGCCACAGATGACGTCCTTGGGGTATTTTATTTTCAGAGCTAACACAAAAATTGAGCAAGGGTCATGAAACTTCAGCCTTGATATTTTTTTTTGTTATGTGACCCTCGGACTTCCACTCACCGCATTTTGACTCCACCTCAGTTATTTCAGAACCCATTTCATTTATAATAAATTTAAATGCCTAATCGCCCATATACTACAGGCTACCACTAGCAATGGTGAGATCAATCGATCAAAGCCTCTTATTACTAATAACTAATGGTTTGAAATTACTACCGGTGCATAAGGCTAGATGGCGCAGAGAATTAATCTGCTTCTCCAATCGCTGTAACTCAGATGCATTCCCACACACTAGCAGAGCAGGAACGGCGAGCTCCATAGGGGATCACAGTGAGGGGAAATCAGCAAGAAAACGAGTGGAAGGGTCAATATCGGGTGGCGCGAAGGGGCGAGTCCTGTTTAACACCTTATGAAACCGACTGTGGAAATTATATGTAAATAACTTTTTTTGCTTTACACGACGAATATTTTCTTCCTGGAAGTTTCGAGTGTCATCCGGTTAAAAATCGACAGTAATAAAAGTGCAGTAATAAAATGGTACATTTTTCTTGTGAGATTAATTCAACCTCAGCACTGCTCAAAAGATTTTTCCCTTTGACGTCATGAAGGTTGCTTTTTATGCTGTCTTCGTCCTTTATCTCCTTTATCATGTAGTGTTTTCGAGCCTCACGTGAGAAGGCAAGGCCTGAATTTAACGGTGTGTTTAGAGTATGAGGACTGGAGAGGGAAGAGAATTACGAGTATCCTATCAAATCGGTGGGCTCTGCTCTGCGGAGTCTGCTCCCTCTCCAAGCCCGCTTTTAAAAACGCCTCTTTAACGCAGTCACTGTTCATTTGAAAGATACGAAAAGATGGCATTGCACAGTAAAGAACACTCCAACGAGAATGCAGCCATGAGACGGAATTTGGAGGTGAGAGTTGCACATCCCAACGTCTCAAAATTTTATACTTTTTGTGGTAAAGCATCAGAGCCTGATTCCAGCACAGATATACGGTTATTTAAAAAAACGTATTTATTTACTTATTGGTTGGGTAATTTGGAGGACTGTTCCCAGAGCCCATGTCCAATGTTTGGTCCATGCACTGATGCTGGAACGTTCTTGACCCTCGGTTTCTTTTCTAGGAAACACGCTCGTTCCTCGAATGTGAATTGCATTGGCAAGAGGATTTGTCAAAAGCATATTTGTACTTGGAAATTAAATAGTTTTAGTCTTCTCGCTGTGCTGCAGTTGGACAGCGACATCGCCTGGAAACGAAGTCACGAAATTGGACTATTCACATCCTGTCGATCCTGGCGTCTGAAGTGTGTCTCGCATTCATTTCAATTACTGGAGAGATTAAGCGCTCATATGTGATTGGTGCCGCGATTAGAGAATCCATTGCTCCTATTCTCGAGAGGACAACAAACGACTGACTGTATTATATTCTTTGGCGTCAATAATGACCTCTACCTTCTCCATGGTATCCCATTGTGACTAGTGAATTTATTGCCCAGGATGGAATAAACAGCAACAAAATCCTCTGCATTACTCGTCCAACTTAATGCGAGCGGCATCCTGTTTCATTCGCATTCTCTTCGATTTTGGGATTCTGCCAGACGCTTTTACTCCATGGCGTCCTAGCTTGTTCTCGCTCTTTTTTTGCTCTTGGCTAGGCATTACAAGCCTGAGAAGGGCTTAGGCGCTTGAGCCTCAACATCTAGTAGCTAAACAATTCCTAAGCACAAGATTTCCCTACCTTGTACGATGCGGTACCCAGCGTCACGGTACCGCTTACTTCACAGACCCGAAAGATGTGTTAAAGATGGAAATTCGATTGACTGAGATGTTTGATGACTAAAGTCACCTCCACGAGGAAGTAAACAATTTCTAAAATTATCTCCATGAAAATAATTGAAATTTACGACGAATTGGTCTCTCCCGGGAAACTTCCTGGAGTAGTTCTAGTACTTCCCGTGGAAGACTCGCAACAACGGCGATTCATACGTCATCACTATTCTCTCTTGGAAACCTTGTTTATTATAGTAAATGCCAGATGGCAGGGCTGCTGCTCAATCATTTCATAACCCATTATTTTGCCTACACTCATGACCATGTGCACCAATCGCATGGTGTCCGTAAACATGTTTATTTCCCTAGTCGAAGACTATTCAATGGCATCCATGATGTCAGAAGCCGTGAGGAGCAAATTTTATCTCCCATTACAAGAATGAGTTTTCGTAAAAATAAGGAAAACGCTACATCTGAAAAAGTTTTGTCCCATGAGAAGGGCACATCCTCGAATGCTAAGGAAACAGTGTAAAATATTTCATTACTCAATATTGCGCGTTTTGGACGTTGCAGCGCTCACAAGTACTCATAAGACGAAGTGCAATTTTCTTTAGTAGTCAATGTATTCTTTCCCAAGTGTCATATGTTGAACCTTCGTTCGGTAAGCCTTCGGCTTCCCTCACTCCGATATGAATTACTGTCCAACGCTAAGATTCTGAAGAGACCCTTTATCCAAAGGAACTGTTAGAGAAACAGAGAGATTCTCTGCTTTACAAGCGCAGCAGGTGGAATAATTAGGTTGTGTTGCATGTCTTCTAATGGGGCTTGGGTTTAGATAAATCCTGGAAACGAGGATCGAATCGGATCATGTCATGACTTTTCTGCGGCATGTAAAACTTCTTTAACGTTACATATTTTATTTTACTTTTTGCAAGTCACAGGCATATTCTGAGCATGGGGAGAAACAGACCTGAATTGGTTTCTTCAACTGAACCAGGGCATCCAGGGTATCTTTAGCATGATGAAGTCCAGTTCCTGGGTCATATTGGGAAAAGTATTGCATCTGGGAAATGTGAAGGTATATTTGATCGAAAATGTCGGGGTATCTCTCTAGCATCACTTGCCACTCAGTTGAAACATCGAACAATGGGTCATCCATCAACTTCAAGTTAACATACGTTGCGTGGGCAGCAAAGTTTCCTTTGCCGTTGGAAGGATCAATGGCTGCCAATAAATACTTCTCTGCCAGGATGTGGCTTTCCTTTACTTCAATGTAGAACACCCCCAGTTTATGATTTACCATGTTGTTGTTTGGGCACAAAGCGTACGCCTTCAGGAAACATTCTTCAGCCTTCTGCAAATCCCTCATGTGCTTCGGAAGTTTCATGAAGCCATCTCCACATCTCACCAAGGTCTTGCCATCTGCAGATGGGTCTTTATAAACCTCTATGTACAAGGCCAGAGCCTCCCCGTTCAGTTCGGGGATGCGATGACGACTAATTTTGCGGATTGCAAGTGCCCTTGCATGCTCTCTCAGTGACTCGGCGAGAAATATCAAGCTGCTATGACATCTCCTCATTTCAATAGCCTTTCTCATGGCCATTTCCTCTTCCTCTGTGGGTATACCGTCAACAGTTTCAATGCGACGAATTCTTCGCAGGATCATTCCCACACCGAAGTGGAGGTTGTAGTTTCCTTGGTCCAAGATGACTCCTTCCCTATATAGTTCAAGAGAATATGAGAACGATTCTTTGGAATATTCAGAGTAAGCTGCAGCTTTGGCACAGAGAATTTGAGCTTTCACTCTCTCTGGTGACTCGGAATACTTTTTAGTTTTGAGAAGGCCTTCTCTTGCTGTGTCAGGATCCCCCATGAGAAAATTCACATTGGCAAGGTTACAACTCGTGAGATATTGCAGTGCTTCTTTTTCTTCGGAAGTGGCAACATCCATATTAGCAATTTTCCTCTGGACCCTTTGCAGAATATCTCTTGCTTTACTCAGATCCTCTTGTCGACCGTGTTCATAGGCAAGGAGGAGGTCATAAGTCACCATTAGAAACTGCTCATTACCCCGCTCATATATGATTCTCTTATCTTTAATTTTGGCGATGAAACTGCATCCAGGAGGAATGTGTCCATGTTCAACCGGTTTCCACGTGAAGTGACACTCCGTTCCCTCGAGCATCTGCTTCACATCTGCATGGGTGGGGCTGCTTTCATTCTCCTTTCCTTCTTGGGGAATGCTCTTAGCAGAAGAATTTCGGGAAAGACTGCTCATTATGTCTTCGTTGGAAGATGTCTGACTGAAACTCCGCAGTCAGCGTATCCTGTAAGTAGAGCAAACGTAACCATGGGTCTCAACTCCACACTTTACATAGGATATACGCACCAGTTCGTAGTCGGGCTCCTATGCGTGGACGATTTCGCGTTTCCTGCATTCCTATGAATTCTGTGAAGGGTTCCATGAATCCATGGATATCCATGAATGCTCGATTCGACTGATTCTACAGTAATGTAATCTGACCAAAGATCCGGCGTTAATTTTTCAAGATGGGAGATTAAGCTAATTAGTCCACAAATAGGCACTGGTCCACTAACTGACGCATTCACTTTATATATATATATATGTTTTTTTTTATAAATCATAATCCCTTTAGGTATTAATAACACCATTATTGACTGACGGCATGAAGTGTTTTCTTTGGCTTATGTATACACCTGCAGATTTCATAAGGGCAGAAGCCAATTTTCGGGGCGTAAAGGGAGTATCGTGGGCGTGTCTTCGATAGAGTAGGGGGGGGGGGAAAGAAATAAAACAAGTCGAATGCAGAGCGAAGCCTCATAAAAACTCAGTCTTGATTGGGTCGACAGTACATATTTGGAAGAGCAATGGGCCAATTAAATGCCATTTAAGAGAACATGGTATTAGGTATCATCAGTGAATGCGTTAAGGCGATGGAATTCTGCCAATTGGTGTGACTGGGGTCCCATTGCGTTTTCATTTTCCTATTTCTTTTCAATGATCGTTCATAGCCTATATATTGTGGAACATTTTAAAAAATGAAATTTCAATGGGTTGTTGAGAAAAAAGTAATCTACCGACTAGTCAGTTTTCGTAAGATTGGCTTCAGCGAATGCAGTGTTATGAAGATTCAAAATCAGGTTGTCTTTCCCATACTTTGCAATCTTGCACTGATTACTGTAATAGTAATTATAAAAAATCACCCTGCTAGGCGACTTCGGGACCTCGTTATTTACGGCAGTGACCCTAATTAGAGTCGCGACGCCACGGTTGGGAACCTTAATCCTCTGCTGATGGATTTCCAGCGAGGGCCGGACGATCCCTCATCCGGTAACCCCGACTCTCCTAGGGTATCATCGCATCATTCTTGAAGCAGCATTCGGTGGAGTCGCCGACGAGCAGCTTAGTGCCTGCCTTCCACATGTTCCTTCGAGAGTGCGGTCAGAATCGAACGGCGAATTGCGCAAAGCACGGTAATAGCTTGCAATATTTCTCATCGAGCGATGAATGAATGATGCCGAATGCAGGACTCATCCGATTTCGTCGCTTTCTTGTTTTTGACAGATCCGCAGTAAAGCAATTCGCTCTTACATAATCAATTGATAATGCTGTAAAATTATCACATCGCTCAAGAGGCTACATGTGGTAGGTCAAACTTCAGATGCAATCAGAGAATGCCAAGCTCGTGACTAATCGGCCATTGATGACGTTTAACGAGATTTTATAAATGCGACCTCTGTCCTTCCTTTTTTTTTTTTTTTTTAAGGGAAGGTTTTCAGTATGAACTTGAAGAAATCCTAAAATTTAAACGGGACCAATCTGGAATGTCGGAGGAAAGGATCACTATAATCCTCTTCCCATCCGTTCCGGAAAAATCCCGCTCTCGCACCACCCCACCTTCCCCTCACCTTCCCCTCACCTTCCCCTCACCCTTCAACCCATCGCAGCTCTGAATGTCAGATTAAGAAGGCTCCTAGGCCACCGCACAAATATCCATCAGCGAAGTCATCCATTGACCTTTCATCTTCCAGTTGAAGGGAGACCCAATCCCAATCGTCGGCTTGTCATCTAAGTATATTTTGGGATTTTAATGCTAACGAGCTCATCCGGTACTCCTGTTCTCGACAGCTTCGCACTGTATTATCCTACTGAACGAAATACTGCGATTCCGTACAGGAACAACACCACGCCCTCAATAGCCTCGGACACCAGCGTCAGAAACGATTGAGAACGTAAACATGCTCTCAGCTGATCATGGCGCGCAACGTGCTACGACCGAGATGTGAAATGCAAGCGACGCAGGCCGTACAAGGATACAAGCGAATGAGCTGGATGCTTTGAGGCTGGGAATGGGACGAGCAAAAGAGGGATAAGCCGGGGAAATGCAGCGCATACTCTGGGAAGATCGGAAGCCTCTCACTCTCAAGCGCAGTAATAATTGCAGGCGCTAGTATTACCTTACTGTTTGTTTTTTTTAATGCATTTATAGCACTTTTCTCCTCATTTTGAAGAAATTTTATTTAGTCTATTCTTCTACTTTCGCAATTTGTGTTGTTGTAAAAGCGTGCACACTGTAGTGTTCTTCTATAACAAAACGACTTGCTGTAGCACTTTCGTTAGAGTCGGCAGCTATTGTCTACTCCCTTGCCGAAAACGTGCTGATATTAATTGATCTGCTTCATCGCCGTGCCTTAATACGTGCCAAGAAAAAGAGAATTTCGAGTCGCGCCGAAAATCTCTGGCGTGGAACAGTAGGAAAAAGTTGTGAAAAATTCCTAACCGAATCGTCTTCAAGTTCTCATTTCTACAATGCACCGCAAATATTTCGGTTCCAAAAAAATCTAAAACACAGACCTGAAGGAGGAGTGATCCATCAGCCTCCCATCACAAGTCTGCCAGCTCCCATCACAGGTCTGCCAACCAAGAAGCCCTGGAACCGAGCCACCCGCCGTCTTCGGTGCTAACGGAAGAACCAGGAAGTCGGCGCTCCGCCATCGATCGCTTGAATGATCGCTTGCGATGATATCACTTGGTGATATCATCGCAGCACAATGGTCATTGGCCACATCATCGATAAGGACAATCACTATCGCAAGTCATTTTCCTTCGCATTCATTGGCTATGAACCGACATTCGATTCGGTTGATGCGACTCAAAGACCATGGAAGAGTTATGGGAAATGAGCCTGATGATCATTCGGAGAGCTAATTGTATGACCCGAGCACGCGATCGGAAGTCGCGGGAGTTTCGCAGGCTGTCCGGATAGCCGAAAACTGTGGGAAACGTGTTTTGTTATTGGATCTGCGGCAACCATTTCGCAATGTGTGTAAATTATCTGTTGACCTCGAAATGATATCACATCTTTTCTCACTCCAGTCTGATATGACAGAGTGCTTATCTCTCTGACCCTTGTTTGAGTTCTGGGGCTTGCCAATTGGGCGCAGCCCTACAACTGATAATCACACAAAAATGCATTTCAAAATGAATGTTCCCGGATGTGGAACAAACGAATATGCTATTATTTCATGAAACATTTTCAATCCGCATTTTCCTCGAAAGCAGCCCCAAAAATCTCATCTCCCAACAAACACACATTGAACATAAGTTATCTACAGCAGATGATCGGCATTGTATGCCGATCAGGGCCAGGTTCCCCCATATCCGTGTGAGTGTCGCGTTTCTTTTAACTCCATGATATCGATAGGAAGCGAACGGGTCGCCCTCAGCTGGCGATCAGCTGGCAGGTGCTCGATCGAATTCGTATCGGGGCTTTGGGATGCCCAGAGAAAGGAGTCGAATTCTGTTTCTGGGACTCTGCCCAAACAGTATGTTTATGTTAATTTTACGTAAAATGAATGTAAATTTTTTGTCCATTTTATATCATTTTTACGCAAACCGTTGTCAAGAAAATGTTTCATGAAATAATAGCATATTCGTTTTGTCAAGAAAATGTCAACATGTTTGCAGAAATGTCACCTCTGTGATACGTAAACAGTGATATAAAATTGACATTCCCGTTTGCATCTCAAAAAGAATGTTTACATTCATTTTACACAAAATTGATGTTGATTTCCCCATAACATTCATGCGTATTTAACGAGCCAATCAGTACCATTGAAGAGAATTAATATACTGAATCTTCCATTCCTTTACATTCTTCAGAACTCTAGGGTGCTTCGACGAGTACAGGAGTACTCATCCTCACCACCACTCAGTGACCTACTTCTTCCTCCTCCCGTACTGGAACCTCGGGAGGAGGAGTAGATGTTCAAAGGAGCTATCTTCCTTTTAGGACAGAGAAGATGTAGTACTTGTGGGGGTGGGATTCTACTCTTCCCTAATCCCGTGCACTGCTGTAATAAAAAGCTTGACATTTTAACCTACCATTTAATGATTCCCTGAGTCATATATTATAAAAAAATATATAATAATTTCATGTTCTTTGGTGACATAAATATTGGAACGTAAATTTTGCGTAAACATGATGTCATTTTCGTGGCAATCGCAAGAAATTTACATTGTTTGCAAAGAATTGATATCTTGTTTACGTAAACATGCTGCTTGGGTGGTCATCACAGAGTTGTGACACGCAGCTCCATCTTCTTGAAGAAATCTCAGAGCGCCTTGTTGGAACGATGGTAGGGGTGCGTCTTTAAAATGTAAATGGACGTGGCAGGATTAAGTCGTCCTTCGATCAACTTCGATTCGTCTTTCCCGCCATGCCAGATTGCAGCTCATGACATGACACTATCGCCTCCATATTTGACCTTGTGCTGAAGACATTAGGGTTGAAGTTCTTCTTTTGATCTTCTCCAAACCGAAGTGCGATCTGCATATGCGAATTGCGGAAACATCGATTCGTCAGAGAAGAGAAACGATGCTCGAGGGTCTCGTCCAGGGGTGTCAAACATACGGCCCGCGGGCCGGATCCGGCCCGCCGTCTGCTTCTGAAATTTTCCGCATGGATCGAGTGTCAACACAAATTTAAGTGAAATTTTATGGGTGGGGCCCGCAGGCATCTACAGGGTAAGGAATGCGACCCGCCGACCGATTTGAGTTTGACATCCCTGGTCTAGTCTTGTCCTTTTGCCAGACCTTTCGAAGGGTTTTTTTTTTTCAATCGGACAGAAGCGATTTCTTACGTGCTGCACACCCTTTCTAGCCACGTTGGTGGAGATGACGTTGTGCCGTTCTACGGCTCATCTATGGCTCATGGTGATGTAAGCAAGAGATCTCGACAGTGAGAGCGGACACGGCGAATTACGGGGCGTTTTCGTACAGATGTCACTGCTGAAGGCCTTCCTGGTTGCTCTGACGCAGCAGCGACAGTGTGCTCGGTGAACTTCGGGATAATATTAGTCACAGGTCGAGAAATTCCGTGATCTTCGGCGATCTGTCGTTGACCCAGCCAAACTCTGAACGGCCAATAACACTATTTCGAGTAAACAGAAAAATATCGCCGGATCCGCTTGTTTTCGACATGGTGATACTGCACGCTGATTATTTGCCCATTTACAAGTTAGACGTCCAAATTAAGCCCAAGCCTTCCTGAACACTGAAATGTTAGTCTAGATGTATTCATTTTTGGGGGTGGCAAAAATGATTGTGTGTCAGGGCTCTATATATTACTTGTTATATGTTCAGAGTTAGTGCATTTATGTGTTTATTCTGAATGTGCAGGATATAAATCCGCAATACAAATGGTTCAGGTACATCCAAAAAGTGCATCACCAAAAAATCACAGCTGATTATGCCATCACACGAGCATTTGGCAAAAAGATCTAAGGTGAAAAGGGCAATTGGCAGGAGAATACAATGTAGAAAGTAAAAGGCAGGATAAAAAAAAAGCTGTTAAGTACTGTCCGTAAAAATGCAATTCATATTGTAAGTCTCAAGGTGAGAAATATTTAAGAGCTTCCACGTAGAATTGATATCTTGTGATATCGAATGAGCAATAATGGACCCATACTGTATAAAAACGTGAATAAAACTGAAGCCTGTGTAGCCTGAAGCCACCACTTTTTGGAATCACGACCAAAAAAAGTAAGTAGTATTCTGGGATATGGCGTTAGTAAAAGTAGGCTTTAGTTCATTCTTGGCGATTATTTCCTGGAGCTTTGACATAGGAGTCCATCCACTTCCTCAGCCTCTCCATCATGTTCTCGATCGCGACCCGTTCTTGAGGAAGCTGTCCATGAAGGTACTGGAGGCCTTTTAGGAGATGCTTATGGGCAAACTTCTTGCGTGGGTACTTCACCTTCAGGCGTTGCCCATCTTGTGACAAACGATGGGGGTATCCAAATTTCTGTTAATAGAGGCCAAGGACGTTTAGCAGCTGAGAGAAGGAGATCAATTTTGAAGCATCGTTCCATTCCATCGTTATCGAGCTGATTACTCAAATTTAATTACGTATTCTTATCCTTAATTCAGGAGAGAATCATGTCCACAGACAATGTCTGTGGCTTTTTTTTTTAAGAGAGGACAAGTAATATATTTTATTTCAGAATGAGTCAAAGTACACCAGCCCGAATACTTTTTTGTTTCATTATTTCTATTTTAAGCCCTCTTCCTATAAAATGCCAAACGGTCCACGGACCACAGGCTATCACTCTCAATGGACCAATAAATAAGAGCCTTATTTTTGCGGTTCGGAACGCCTACCGGTACGCAAAGGAAACGTCACAAAACATTATTCTGTTTCACCATTCGATGCAGATGCAACTGAGATGTTTCCCCGGAGATGAACTGAGATGAAATGTGATGCGTTCCAAAATGGATCGCAAGAGGAAATCAGCAGGAAAGCAGGGGAAGGTGAATGGCACGAAGAAGCGAGTCCTGTATTAGACCTTTGGAAAAGGACTGTGAAAATTCTATGCTCGTAATTTCTTTTCGCATCGCATTGGAAATACGGCGAGTATTTTCCTCTTGGTTATTTCAAGTGTCTTGGTCGTCCCGTTCAAAATCGAGAGCCACTAAAAAAAAATGCAGCATTAAAATATATACATGTGCCACGTACGAGGAGGATGCGGTCTCAGTACCGCTTTTTGGCGACACACGTGACTCATCTGTGAAGCACTGCTGAAACAGCTGTCTCTCAAACGTGGAGGAGCGGAATTTTCCTCCAAATGCTCTACGACTATTACTCCTTAAATCAACCAGAAATCTCACGAGTATAATTTTAGAGCACTTTCTGCATGATGCACACAGATTTACGTTTCCAAAGGTTTTCTCATAAAAAAAAGAGAAAACGCTTAATATATGAGTTTTCATGAAGCATCAACCAGGACACTGATATTTGCTTCATCCGGTAGGAGGTGACTTTGCGACAAATACAAACTGGAGTCTGCACTTCTTGAAGTCGTTCACTTTCAAAGTGCCAATAAGCTACAATTTCGACAGAAGCATCCCAAGTAACACAGTATGTTGATGAAACGTTTTCGAAATGTTGCCTATGTTGCTCTATGTTGCAAGTTGCTGTACAACATTGANAGTAGGGGTTATACCAGTACAGGCTTCGTCCTGTTGATGAGAATGTACGAAAGGATGAAATAAATAATTCAATATTTGTCGAATATCGGTCCAGTGAAGCCTACGCTTTTCCGTAATGCCAATATAGGCCCAGATTAGGTGCCCGTGAAGCAACGTTTTTAATCAACATAGCAGTAACATAAATCCTGAAACGTATCTGCAACGTATATGTAATGAATAAGTAGCGATTTGCAACGTAAATGCAATGTTCCTTCGCAACATTTGAGCAACGTTGACGTTTTGGACATTTACACATAGATGAAACATTGTTCATCAACATTTCCTAAACGTTGCTGGGATATCTTGTGTTACTTGGGTTAGGGGAAGATCACCTCCAAAAACGTACTGTCTCCTGCCTGTACATGATACAGATACTGTATTGTGCATGCGTTGAGGGTAAAACATGTACAGGCTTCGTCTAGTTGATGAGAATTTCTGGGTAGAGAGGTAAAGTATATGGTACGAAATGATGAAATGAATAATTCAATATTGGTCGAATATCGGTCCAGTTCAGGACCAGTGAAGCCTACGCTTCTCCGTAATGCCAATGTAGTTCCAGATTAGGTGCCCGTGAAGCAACCTTTTTAATCAACATAAATCCTGAAACGTTTCTGCAACATTTATGTAATGAATAAATAACGATTTTCAATGTAAATGCAATGTTCCTTCCCAACATTTGAGCAACGTTGACGTTTTGGACATTTACACATAGGTGCAACATTGTTCATCAACATTTCCTAAACATTGCTGGAATATCTTGTGTTACTTGGGATGCTGGTCTTAACTGAAGTTTTTTTTTTTTTTTGCTGCCAGAATGCAATTATTTTCTTGCTACAATGGCAGGGTGAAAACTTTAGTTTACTATGGAGTGCTTGGTAATGAAGATTGATGGAAATGGGGAATGGTGCTAATGCTGGCAATGGAGATGGTGTCGCATCGTGACTCTTCCACGACGAGCAATGCACCTTTCACATTGCCTTTGTGCATTTACACCACTAGGCTTTCGAAGCTAATCTTCCCTAATAAATAAAAATAAACTATACATTGGCCCGGTGCGATTATTTGTTTTCATACGGCCTGGTTCAATTGTTGGCAGTGAAATGCGTGTCCGAACGATCGAAAACAATGTGGTTCGAGTAGGTACACAAAGTAATAATTTGAATTTTGAGTGGCTTACTGTTCACCGATCAGAAGCATATTCCGACTAGGGGAGACAACAGACCTGAACAGCTGTTTTCATCTGAAGGAGGGTGTCAAGGGTGTCTTTCGCATGACGAAGTCCTGTTCCAGGGTCAAATTGGGAAAAGTATTGCATCTGGGAAATGTGAAGGTGTATCTGATCGGAAAGGTCGGGATATCTCTCCAGCATGATTTGCCACTCAGAAGCAACATCAAACATTGGATCATCGTCCAACTTCAAACTCACATACGTACAATGCGCTGTAAAGTTTCCATTGCCGTTTGTGATATCGATAGCAGCTGACAAGTACTTCTCTGCTAAGACATGGTCTTCCTTCCCTTCAATGTAGAAGACCCCCAGTTTATGATTTACCATGGTGCTGCTTTGGCACAAAGCATACGCCTTCAGGAAACATTCTTCAGCCTTCTGCAAGTCCCTCGTGTGCGGTAGAAGTTTCATGAAGCCATCTCCACATCTCACCAAGGTCTTGCCATCTGCAGATGGGTCTTTATAAACCTCTATGTACAAGGCCAGAGACTCTTCGTTCAGTTCAGTGATGCGATGATGATCACATTTGCGGACTGCAAGTGCCTTTGCATGCTCTCTCAGCGAAACGGCGAGAAATATCAAACTGCTATGGCATCTCTTAATCTCAACAGCCCTTCTCATGGCCGTTTCCTCTTCCTCTGTGGGTATACCGTCAACAGTTTCAATGCGACGAATTCTTCGCAGGATCATTCCCACACCGAAGTGGAGGTTGTAGTTTCCTGGGTCCAAGATGACTCCTTCCCTATATAGTTCAAGAGAATATGAGAACGATTCTTTGGAATATTCGGAGTAAGCTGCAGCTTTGGCACAGAGAATTTGAGCTTTCACTCTCTCTGGTGACTCAGAATACTTTTTAGTTTTAAGAAGGCCTTCTCTTGTAGTGTCTGGTTCCCCTGTGAGAAAATTCACATTGGCAAGGTTACAATTTGTGAGATATTGCAGTGCTTCTTTTTCTTCGGGAGTGGCTCCATCCATATTAGGAATTTCCATCTGGACCCTTTGCAGAATATCTCTTGCTTTGCTGAGATCCCCTTGTCGACCGTGTTCGTAGGCGAGAAGATGGTCGTAAGTCACCATTAGAAACTGCTCATTATCCTGCTGATGAATGATTTTCTTATCATTAAATTTGGCCAGGAAATTGCATGTGGAGAGAATGCGTCCATGTTGAAACGGTTTCCACGTGAAGTGACACTCTGTTCCCTCCAGCATCTGCTTCACATCTGCATGGATGAGGCTGCTTTCATTCTCCTTTCCTTCTTGTGGAATGCTCTTTGCAGAAGGATTTCGGGATTGACTGCCCATTACGTCTTCTTTAGGGGATGAATATGTGTGACTGAAACAGCACAATCAGCGGATCCTGCAAGTAGAGCAATCGTAACCAAATGTCTTAACACCACACTTTGCATATGTAATTTCCGTTGTTGCAATCATAATCCTCTTAGGCATTGATTGCATCCTTATCGATCGACGACATCAAATGCTTTCTATCAAATTGGTTTAAGTAAGCCTTTGTGCATTGGAACGAATTTGAACTAAGTTTTAAAGGAATGCAGAGAAGAAATGAATCTACCTGCTGGCTACTTTTCGTAAGATTGATTCAAGTCAACGACGAGTTTTGAAGATCAAAAGTCAGATTCTCTATGCCATATCTTTATTGTCTTGCATTGATGTGAAATCACAGAGTTGGATCATACCGGTACAGGATGCTCATGCATTCCTAAATTCTTATCCATTCAACGATGCCTGACTCCATGCAGACTCACGACCATAGTTACCCGTGTAACTTACTCCAGGATACCATAGATTCGCCCCCCCCCCCCTCCCGCTTTCTTCCTTTCAGAACCTGCTGGCGTACATGACGTTAATCCTCTGCTGATGGATATTTGAGCGAGGGCAAGGGCCTTCCTCATCTGGCAAACCCAATTCTTCTATATCAGTTGTTCCCAAACTTTTTTTTGCTGCGACCCTAAAATGACCACCAACAGGATCTCCCAATCCTCAGGCTTATGATGAAATTTTTTTATATGAATATCTTATTAATGAAGTATGATTCATTTTCCAAAAATATTTTTTTTTTCTACTGATGACCCTTCTCGACCCTACTGATTCCCGCACCCTAATTTGGGTCTCGACCCGAGGTAAAGGAACTGCTGTTCTACATCATCGCGTCGTTCTTGAGTAAGCGTTCGGTGGCCTCGCCGACGAGCAGCCTTTTGTCTGCCGCTTCGAGACTCCAGTCTGAATCGGAGCGTCGAATCGCGAAACGCGCGTTAACGCTTGCGCTGCGTCTCATCGAGCTTTGAACAGAAAGGGTGGAATTAAGGGCTCATCCGCTTTCATCGCGTTCTTGTTTTCACTGCGTTCCGCAGCAAAGCAATTCACGCTAACACAATCAGCTGATAATGCTGTAAAACTGTGATGAAGCTCATAAGGCTACACCTGGTTGGCTATTTCAGATACAGAGAATGCCAAGCCCCAGACTAATCGACCATTGATTACGTTTGACAAGATTTCACATATTAGACGGCGTTTTGTTGAAAGGAAGGGTTTGCGATGAATTTGAACGAATCCCTACATTTAAACGGAACCAACATGGAATCTTGGTGGAAAGGATTACTTTGTCGCCTTCCCATCCGTTCAGGACAAATCCCGCTCACCCTCACTCTCACCCTCACTCTCATCCTCACCCTCACTCTCATCCTCACTCTCATCCTCACTCTCATCCTCACTCTCATCCTCACTCTCATCCTCACTCTCATCCTCACTCTCATCCTCACTCTCATCCTCACTCTCATCCTCACCCTCACTCTTACCTGTGACTGCTATGAATGTCAGATTAAGAAGAAATATTTGTGCGGAGGCCTACTCCGCACAAATATTCACAAGCGAAATCATCCACTGAACTTTCATCCTCTACTCGTAGTTCAGGGGTGTCAAACATACGGCCCGCGGGCCGGATCCGGCCCGCGGAGGTGTTTCATCCGGCCCGCGGTCTGTTCTTGAAATTTTCATCTGTATTAACTCTCAGCACTCTCCGCGCACGAGCCTAACCTCGAATAAGAGTTGAAGGCGCCCGCATTCCCTCTCCGTATTGTAAATATACGATGGC